GCAGAAGCTTGTGGAAACGATGCCACAGTGAATGCGTGCCACAAGCAAAGCTGAAGGCGGTCCAACTCAATATTAGAGTGTGTGACCTTTTTTTGGCCAGGCAGTGTGTACATATATATATATATGTATATATATATATATATATATATATATACACACACACGCACATACACACACGTAATGTCTGTCTGTGTTCCAGTACGTAATCTGCTGATACTGGCCTTCTGTAAAATACAAGAAATGTCGATAGAATTAATTTGGTTATTTTTTGTCCTTTCTTTACATGCTTTACATTTTCTTTACATGTATGTATTTATGAATAAAAATAATTGTGTGCAAATTTATGTTTGTATTACAAGAGTTGGTTACTTACATGTTATTTTAATGTTCTTCCATATGTGTGTGTGTGTGTGTGTGTGTGTGTTTATGCGTATTAAGGCTTTTGAATGGTGGAATAAGAACGGGTCAGTGTGTGTGGTACAAAGAGAAAGAACTATGAAACTGCATCAAAAATAAAAAATTATGGGTAATTAATGAATATACAAATAAAGGTTATATTGTATGTCCTGTAGAATTATGCTGAAGGTAGAGTGAGCAAAACTTTCTTCTTTGTATTATAATTATTGTTGTTGTTGTTGTTTATGTCACAAATAAAAATGCAATAAGAATAAGTTCAAGTCTATTACATGCTAGGCCTTATTAAGTCTGTAATGAAGAGCCAGGCATTAGGCTTATGATGCAGAGTAAGTAAAAGTTGGCCTTAGGCTAATGCTAAAGTGCCAGTGAGTACAGGTAGATTAAGAGCTAATCCTTTGGCTATTGCTGCTGGTAAACAAAGTAGTTTTATATAGTTTTATCACTAAGCCTCTAGCTTAGTGCGTAACATAAGGTAGCGTAAAGATAGGATTAACGTAGAGCAAAGCCTTGATTTAGGGCAAGACCTTTGACCGTTGCTGAGGTCAGAGTTAGCACAAGCACGCTTGAAGTCTTCAGAAAAAGTTAGAGTGAACTAAATAAGTTTTCAAGCTAGGCCTCAGGCTTACAATGTAGACAGAGTAAATGATAGCAGGTTAGAGTGAGTTGCAGTAGTTATGGAGCTACAGTTAAATGATGTTAAAGTAGGGCAGGGCCTCAGGCTTGTGAAGGAGTAAGAGTGAGTGTACTGAGATGTATAGTTGGACTTATGATGAAGATGTGGTATGACAGCAGGTACAGAGGCAAGTTTTAGGCTGATGATATAGTTTAAGCAAGCCAAAATTAAGCTTTTTATTTGTACTCTGGCTCAGAGTGTAGTTAGAGCAAGTAATATTAGACTTTGGGTTTATGGTCAAGTTGGAGAACGTCAAAATGGGTTTAAGGAAAGGCCTTAGGCTTATGATGAAGTCAGAGTAAGCAAAGGGAGGCATCTAGCTAGGTTTTGTGCCTTTATTGTAATAAAATAAGTAACAGTGGTTTCATTGCAAGGTCTTAGGTTCATGAGAAGATAAGGATAAAACATACATCTAAGGTGTAGCTTTATAAGCCCTGTTACTTACTCTGTTTATATTTTTAGTCTTATGCTTATGATGAAGCTAATGCAAGCAAAAGTAGGCTTTCAGCGAGGCCTCAGGCTTATAATGTAGATAGCTTAAGTAAGTGTTGCTATAGAGCTCAGCCTTAGGTTTATGAATAAATAAGAGCTTGTAAAAGTCAGTGTAGGCAAGGTCTTAGGCTTCTGAAGAAGTTAGAGTTAGCAAGATGAGATTTCCAGCTAGACCTTAGGTCTAGATAGCGTAAGTGATGGTAGGTTAAGAAGGAGGCCCTAAGCTTGTAGTGTAGTTAGTGTGAGAACAAGATGTTATAGGGCTACAGTTAAATGTTATTAAAGTAATCTTAGGGCAGGGCCTCAGGCTTGTGACGGAGTAAGAGTGAGTGTACTGAGTAATAGTGAGTGAACTGAGAACTTTGTAATGTATTGTACTGCACTTATGTATTGTATTATATTGCACTGTTCTGTGTTCAACTCTGTTCCTTTTTCTCTGGGTATCAACATTGACTTTTTGTTTCTATCAGTATCTGAGCTCAGGACTGGCTTTCTCTCTAACCTATTGGTAACCCGCAAAGATACTTTCTCTAGATAGACAAAGCACTTCTTGTAAGTCGCTCTGGATAAGAGCGTCTGCTAAATTCTGTAAATGTAAATGTGAATCTATAGCGCTCCATTAGACTTATGATGAAGCTATAAAATTAAAATCAGGTACAGAACCAGGCTTTAAGTTCATATTGTAGTTGGAGTAGGCCAAATTAGTCTTACAACCTTTCCTCTGGCTTAACGTGTAGTTAGAGTAATAATAAATGTAGAGTTTTTTGAGGTTCATGGTGAAGTTAGTAAAAGTGAAAGTAGATTTAGGGCTAGACCTCGACTGTTACTGAGGTCAGAGTAAGGTGATGACGCCTCCTTGCCCATCCCAAATATTTCAAATCTTTTCAGTTACACATCATTATCTCCAACTTTCATGACTACATTGAAAACCATTATATCCAAACATAGGTTATTTTATTACCTTTCACAACATTATTAATGTCATTAGTGATTTTTTATCAATAATTATTCCATTATTTCCAAACCAAGAAGTAAAATACATTTTCAAAGATAATCATAGGCCAAGGCCACAATCAGGCCTAGACCTCTAAACTTTATTCCTACTATTCAATATGGTTATAACTAAGTCTCTCTGCGTATGTGCTTTTCTCCTTCAAAGACATTTTAGTTCTCAGATGGAACAAACAGGTTATTCTCTGAGTGTGTGCCTCTCCTAGATTGGGCCTGCTTGGCACACACCACTGCACTTTGCGTTTACACAGAGGGTCTCACACACACTCACAGGAAGAGAGCTGCACGTGACAGAGAGAGCCATACAGTAAAATATAATAATATAATAATGTTTTTCATATGAGCTTAGGACTACTTCCCACTGGTCAAATCAAAGTTCATTTACATTGTTTTTTTTTGTTTTTTTTTTACAACAGCACATCAGCAGAGAGCAGGCTCTGGCCCTGCGTGCCGCTGATGTCACGCCTGTGCTTTACCCGCTCCAAGAGAGCCCGTTTTACACATAGTCAACGAGGGGCTCGGTCGCTGGAAGTTCGCCCGCGCCCTCGCCGAGGTTCTCCCCGAACGCGCCGTTGAGCTCTCCGAAGGTTCACGCCGACGTTTGCCGCCGTTTTCCACCGATTATCGCGCCAAATACTCCGTCTCTCGTTCGGAGCGGCGACCGCCCGGCGCTCTTTTAAGAGCGTCCTGTAAAACGAGGCGTCGCTGCGCGCCCATTCCCAGACTGGGGACACACAGTAGAGCCTGTTTTAGAGTAGCGAGCCGTTGGACGCTCGCCAAGCGGCGCTTTCGCTCGTATTTTGCCCGATAAATGCCACGAGAAAACACAAATCTGAGCGCGTCACTGAGACACTACTGCACAGCGCCCGCCAGATTGAGTCTACCCCGTTCTCATGTGCCTTTTAAGGGGCCGGCTCCCCGCCTGAGAGGGAGGTTCCTCTGAACAGTGCAGTTCGCGCTCATTGTCGCTCCGCTCGCAGCAAAAGCAGAACGATGGCAGAAGTCGCTCCCGCTCCAGCCGCCGCGCCGGCCAAAGCTCCCAAGAAGAAAAGCGCCGCCCGGCCCAAGAAAGCCGGCCCCAGCGTCGGCGAGCTCATCGTCAAGGCTGTTTCTCAGTCTAAGGAGAGGAGCGGCGTGTCTCTCGCCGCCCTCAAGAAAGCCCTGGCTGCCGGCGGCTACGACGTGGACAAGAACAACTCCCGCGTCAAGCTCGCCGTCAAGAGCCTCGTGACGAAGGGCACTCTGGTGCAGACCAAAGGCACCGGTGCGTCAGGCTCTTTCAAGCTCAACAAGAAGCAAGCCGAGGCCAAGAAGAAGCCGGCGAAGAAAGCAGCGTCCAAACCCAAGAAGGTGGCCGCCAAAAAGCCCGCCGCGGCCAAGAAGCCCAAGAAGGTAGCGGCAAAGAAGCCCGCGGCCGCCAAGAAATCGCCGAAGAAAGCCAAGAAGGTAGCGGCGAAGAAGCCCGCGGCCGCCAAGAAAGTCGCCAAGTCTCCCAAAAAAGCCAAGAAGCCTGCGGCCCCGAAGAAGGCGGCCAAGAGCCCGAAGAAAACAAAGGCCGTCAAGCCCAAAGCAGCGAAGCCCAAGGCGGCGAAAAAGGCCGCCCCCAAGAAGAAGTAAACGTGCCGTTGCCCTTCACGTCCTGCTTCTCCTATTGAAAAAACGGCTCTTTTAAGAGCCACCCACATTTTCCTCTCAGAGTTACGTTTTCCGTAAGCTGGTCATTACTGTTAAGTAGCGATATTGGAAAGCGCCAGGCTCGACGTTGTAACGGAGGTGCCGTTTGCATTTACAAAAGAGCCGAAATGGGGTCAAAAAAGCGCGGAAACAGGGACTTTATTTCTTTGTTTCCTTCTTTGTAATTATTATTACTCTTATTATTATAATCATAATTACAAAACCATGATTGATAATAAAACAATTAAGATGAAGGATTAATTATCAAATAATAATTTAAAAGTATATACAGTAATAAAACAAAACCTATTTATGTCTGCAGCACACAAGATAAAAAGTTAATTATCAAATGTATTTTTGTAATTTAGAAGCAAAACAAGAAAATAAAAACACACCTATATTACGTATATATATATATATATATATATATATATATATTATATATATATATATATATATATATGTACACGAAGGGGAGGGAGAGAAGCAGAGGAACGGTGGGCGGACCCTAAAGTTTTATGACAGGAGCCCGCCAAGGCGTTGGGGCAGAGTCTTGCGATTTGAAATGTTGACGCCCAATAGCGTTCAGCCAACGCGTGGGGAGTCGTCCAATGGGAGGCGGGCACATTCAAGACGCCCAATGAGCGGCGAGCAGCTCGAGCGCTTAAAAGCGCCGCGGTATGCGTCTGAACTTATTCTATAGCTTTGGTAGGGAGGAGTGCAGTTTGCCATCATGGCAAGAACCAAACAGACCGCCCGTAAGTCCACCGGTGGCAAAGCTCCGAGGAAGCAGCTGGCTACCAAGGCTGCTCGTAAGAGCGCCCCGGCTACCGGCTGGCGTCAAGAAGCCTCACCGTTACAGGCCCGGCACCGTGGCTCTCAGGGAGATCCGCCGTTACCAGAAATCCACAGAGCTGCTGATCCGCAAGCTGCCCTTCCAGCGCCTGGTGCGGGAGATCGCTCAGGACTTCAAGACCGATCTCCGCTTCCAGAGCTCTGCCGTCATGGCCCTGCAGGAGGCTAGCGAGGCGTACTTGGTGGGTCTGTTCGAGGACACTAACCTGTGCGCCATCCACGCCAAGAGAGTCACCATCATGCCTAAAGATATCCAGCTGGCCCGCCGTATCAGAGGAGAGCGCGCTTAAATTCAACGGAGCGCTGCCAGGTTTCCCCCCAAACACCCCAACGGCTCTTTTAAGAGCCCCCTCACTTCTCTGTCCAAAAGAGCAACTATCCTGGTAATCTCAAAGTTACTTTAAGTACTGCGACTTAATTATCTGTCTGAGATAGTTCTGCCACTGGTATTCATTTTGACTAGTGTAGTGGAACAGATTCGAGTCTCTCAGTCGTAGTAAGGCAAAAAAAAAAGGAGCGGCTTGAGTATGATCTGCTTCACATGCTCGTGTTACACATCTTTCTGCTCAATTTTTACCAAACACTATTAACACCAAAAAAAAATACTGCTTTAAGCGCCCGCCTATACAATGTAAAAATAGCATCTGAAATATATCATGAACGTATTTCATAAATACAGACACAACCCTGGATTATGGAGGAGCAGATCTGCCAAAATGAAAAATAAATACAATTAAAAATAAATGGCTTAGTAAATTAATATGAAGTAGAATTCCAAAGAATAATAAATCTAAAAATAAATATACATAATAATATATGAATAAATAAAACCTTATATAAATCAATGTCTGCATTTATTCGTCCATTTAGTAATTTCCCCTTCTCACTCATTTTTATATATTTTTTTGTTTCTTTATTAACATTTTGTTTTTCTATTCATTTATTTCCATGACTATTAATTTCTTTCTTTATTTCTCTATTTATTTATTTCTGTATTTCCTTGTCCTCATGCTAATAAAGGGGCTGTCAGTCAATGATGTCACAGCGTCTTAATACTCCTATTGGTTGATCGATGTCAGTTTCTGTAGATCGATTGTATTTGTCTTGCTCTCTCAGCGGTAACTGAGGACCAGACAGTACAGTAACGGCTTCTTACAGCAGCAGACAGTCAGAGATCTGAGAGTCTCGGCTGATCTGGCTGAAAATGCAGGTCCGGATTATTGACTCTTCCGTTGGAGGCTGTGGGGACAGTTTGCTCCATTTTGCTGCCTCTGCTGATTCAGAGGTCAAGCCGTAGTGTTCAGAGCTTTGGAGGAGGAGTTTCAGCGTCTTTTTCTGTAGAATTCAGATCAAACTCAGACATTCGGACGCCCGTCTCACACACGGCCTGTGGAGCCATCGAGAGTTATTCATTGGCAGGTCTGTCTGTTCGTGACATTGCAGCTCTTTATGGAGTGAAAGAGCAGTTTAATCAGCTCTTCTCCTCCTGGTCTTGACTGCTAAGCCTCAACGTGAAAAACACGCCCCCTAATCATATGAACGACGAAATACAGAAATAAATAAATGAATTAATGAAAAAAATAAATAAAAATATAGATACGGGAAAATATTTTTAAAAAAGGCATTAATAAAACAATACAGAAATAAATTGAGAAATATATAACTGCAAATTAAAGAAACGTGTATATTTACAATTGCAATATATAGTTTTTCTTTTATTTATTGATTAATTTACTGATCCATTTATTTTTTTAATTTTATTTATGGCGGAACTCCAAGTAACGTTTTCTCCACCTCTACAAAACATCATGTTTGAAGTCACATAACAGAAAAAGCTCTTTAAGCGGAAACGTGGGGGGCTCTTAAAAGAGCCGTTGTGTTTATCGTTGTTCGAGTCAAACGCTTAACCTCCGAAGCCGTACAGGGTTCGTCCCTGACGCTTCAGGGCGTAAACCACATCCATGGCGGTGACGGTCTTCCTCTTGGCGTGCTCGGTGTAGGTGACGGCGTCCCTGATCACGTTCTCCAGAAACACCTTGAGCACGCCGCGGGTCTCCTCGTAGATCAGACCCGAGATACGCTTGACACCGCCACGGCGAGCCAAACGGCGGATAGCCGGCTTCGTGATGCCCTGGATGTTATCGCGGAGCACTTTACGGTGACGCTTAGCGCCTCCTTTCCCGAGACCTTTGCCGCCTTTTCCTCTTCCAGACATGCTGCTTCGTTCCTCTCCTGAACGCTACGAAAAGAACCAGTGACAAGCGGAGCGCCGTACGGCCTGTTATACTCCTCTACAGGACCTAGATGAAATCAATGAACAGGAGGCGGAGCCACGCACAACAGACAGTACAGAGAAAACAGCAACGTGGTGGAATCAAGGAAAACAAAAAGCAAATATGCCATGAAGTAAATATCACTCATATTACTATAATTATCGCTATTATAATACAGTTTTAGCATATCATTTCACAGCCTTCTAAATCTCATGTCATTTTAAGGCGAAATGTAAAAAAATGTCTAAGTACAAAACAAAAAGAACAAGAAAAGAACGAAAGAGAGCAAAAAAGAAAGATTTTTTTTTATCAATTGTAAAACATTTCATCTTATTTAAAAGTATTTAATAATTACATCTCAAAGTACGTTACCTAAGCTACTCTAAACGCAAAGCGACGCACTGTTATAGAGTTAGAAGCCTGTAAGAATAATAAACACACAAATACTGTTTAAATATGGCGTGTGTGTGTGTGTGTGCGTGTGTGCGTTGCTACATTTGGAATAAATATCTAATTTTATAGATAGATATTTGTCATATTCTAGAATGGTTCTTTTATTTGATGTTTCTTATTAGTTTAGTGTTTCATGTGAGCGGGAAGTTATCCAGCACTTTTAGTTGTACCGCGTATGTGAAAACTTTGAAACTTTGACCTTGACAGGGACACGCAGTAGCTCAAAGAATGCGCGGGAAGGCGAACAAAGGAAAAATCTTTAGCCGGAGGAGGAGCAGGAGAGGTTGGGCGAGAAGCGGGAGTTGTCGGGAAATCGAGCCATTGGTTGCTGTCCAATGATCGTGTGTCTGTGTTCAGAAGGGCGGAGCTATAATTTGAATATCGGAGTCTAGATAAGCCGGTGCCGGGCGCTCCTCCTCATTCTTCAGTTTTATTCGAAGAGAAGAAAATCATGCCTGAACCCGCCAAGTCCGCCCCGAAGAAGGGCTCCAGAAAGCCGTGACCAAGACGGCTGGTAAGGGAGGCAGAAGCGCAGAAAGTCAGGAAGGAGAGCTACGCTATCTACGTGTACAAGGTGCTGAAGCAGGTCCACCCCGACACCGGCATTTCCTCCAAGGCGATGGGCATCATGAACTCGTTCGTCAACGACATCTTCGAGCGCATCGCCGGTGAGTCGTCCCGTTTTGGCTCATTACAACAAACGCTCCACCATCACGTCCAGGGAGATCCAGACCGCCGTGCGCCTGCTTCTTCCCGGTGAGCTGGCCAAGCACGCCGTGTCTGAGGGCACCAAGGCCGTCACCAAGTACACCAGCTCGAAGTAAGAAGTGACGGAGACTTCATTAAACCCAACGGCTCTTTTAAGAGCCACCCACGTTTTCGCATAAAGAGCCTTTTGCCGTTTGTGTGTGAACATAAGCACAAAGTTTCGTTCGAGGCTCAGCGCTTTGCCGTGTTCGAATCCATTTTCCCGCCTAATTTCTCTGCTGAAATGGGCAGTATAAATGCGTATACAAACAGACCCGGATATGTGCATATGAAAATTCAGCTCTGCTGCAGTGTTTTTGTTTGGTGCACGTCGTGCTTGGTAAATACCGAGCAGAAAGTCAGTATCGCTTGCCTGAGTTACACACAATCATCGTCAAGCTATATTTTTGTGCTTTATTCACGGAGAGACTAGAAACTACTATAACACTGCGATATCAGCAGCAGGACTGAATGAATATCTCACAGATAATTAGGTCACAGCACGTAAAAACCGTTGGGGTGTTTTGGGGAAACCTGGCAGCGCTCGTTGAATCTAAACGCGCTCTCCGCGGATCCGGTGGGCCAGCTGGATGTTTTTCTTCTATTGATAAAAACGGATCACCCACATTTTCCTTTCAAAGAGTTGGATTTCCTTCGTGTTGCACTTAAAAAATTAGTCATTGCCAGTCAGCAGTGATGTTACTGGAAAGCGCCAGGCTCGACGTTATAATCGAGTTGCCGTTTCCCTTCACATGGGTGAGAATTGGAGCGGAAATGGGTAGAAAAAACAGCGGAAAAACAGGGACTTTCTTTGTTTCTTCTTTGTCTTCATCTCTTTCTCTCTCAGTTCAGATTTTCTTTACTGACGTGACAAATTTACATTTGTATTGTTTAAGTACTGCAAAAATGATCAGAAGTTACCATAATAATAACAACAACAATAATAATAATAATCGTAATACCAAAACCAATATTGATAATACAAGGAGAAAGTCTAATCAATATTATAAAAATATATACAGTAATAAAAACTATTTAATATGTGTCTGCAGCAAATAACGAGACAAAAATATTAATTGTCAAATGTATTTTTGTAATTTCATATGCACATATAACAGTGAAAGGAAAGGTTGTGGTTTGTAGGTCACTCACTGTCCTGGATATTTGGCTGTAGTGGACACTGATGGACCTCCTAATATAATCAAAAATTCATCTTTATCTTCCAAAGTATTTTATGTATTTTATCTATTTTTCTTTTTCTCTTTCTCTCTCTCTCTCACACACACACACGCGCGCGCGCGTTCAAAGGGGAGGGGGAGAAGCAGAGAGCATGGAGAGGAGCGGTGGGCGGACCCTAAACTTTGACGACGCTAATATGATTGGTTGTTGGAAGTCATCGCATTTTAGCCAATAGAAACACAGCAGCTTTGCCTATATGGAGGGCGACCAGAGACCGTTGTCTTCTATTTCAGCTTAGTTCTGCAAAGCGAAAGGAAGTGAAAATGAGTGGAAGAGGGAAAACCGGAGGTAAAGCTAGAGCGAAGGCCAAGACTCGCTCCTCCCGCGCCGGGCTGCAGTTCCCTGTGGGCCGTGTTCACAGGCTGCTGCGCAAAGGGAACTACGCCGAGCGCGTCGGCGCCGGCGCTCCCGTCTACTTGGCTGCCGTGTTGGAGTATCTGACCGCTGAGATCCTTGAGTTGGCCGGCAACGCCGCTCGCGACAACAAGAAGACCCGTATCATTCCTCGTCATCTGCAGCTGGCCGTTCGTAACGACGAGGAGCTCAACAAACTGCTCGGAGGAGTGACCATCGCTCAGGGTGGCGTGCTGCCCAACATTCAGGCTGTACTGCTGCCCAAGAAGACCGAGAAGGCGGTCAAGACCAAGTAAACTGGGTTTTTCCGCTAAACTGGAAAAAAAAACAAAGGCTCTTTTAAGAGCCACCCACCTTAGCAACAAAAGTGCACTTTCTTTTATATTTATTATTCAATGCAAAGAAAAAAATTGATTGGTATCGATTGGTACAGTTTGTGTACATTAAAGCGAAATAAAAGGGTCACCGCATGATCCACGATTGGATATGGAATAAAGTTTAGAAGCTCCTATTGTATTCGAGCACATAAGGCGAACAAACTTACATGAACGTCTGTGTATCTACCTGAGTGAAGGTGACACAGCAGGCGAGTAATGAAAGGCAAAAATCTGAGTAACACTACAGAGGGCGTGCAAAAAAGAACATAAAGCGGTTCAGGAGCCCGCCAAAGCGCAGGGGCGGTGTCTTGTGATTTGAAAATGTTGGCGCGGCAGAAGACGCCCAATAAGGTTTAGACGCGTGGGGAGGCGGGCACATTCAAGACGCCCAATACCGTTTAACCAACGCGAGGGGAGCCAATAAAACCGTTTAATGCTAGTACAAGAAATCACTGCGTCACTGACCAGAGGTCAGGCAGAGTAATGTTTCTGAAATCTCCTTGTTCTGGTTGGTCACCTGCACGTCCTTCATATACCAACAGCATTTTTCAGGCATGGAGGCAACCTTTATTTTCCTTTCTTTTTCTGCTGGCCGCTGGTTTGATTCCACTCATTTTCTGTCTGCAATCACCCAAAACAAGTCTGTCTGTCTGTGTTTGGCTATTTTATATCTTAACCACACGTCAGCACAAGTATACCTTTCCCTTTCTCAGGATTGGCTGTAATAACGATGGGGGAAGAACAGTTTTGTGACACTTTATTATTTTTTTTTTTTTAAGTCCTGTTTCAGTGTCTTTTTCCTCTTTTACTTCTACGCTCCCTATTAACCACCATATTTCAAGCTATGGAAGCTCTTCTCACCAGGAGAGAGCAAAGTACAAAACTACTGAACCTGAGTAAAAGTAGAAATTCTTAAAGTACAAGTATTTGAGTTAAAGTACCAAAGTACTTGTTTTTAAGTTGTGAATTGGAAATCATAATGCACTATATATTCATTTATTTTTTGCACAAGTACCTACACTTCTATAGAAGATTATGGTGAAATAAGAATTGTGTTATGTGATGAATTAATAAGACCATGGTGGTTAATAAAGTAAAATGAACTAAGAAAGGGTAAAGTTCCATTTTGATTTCAGATTGACTTTAAATGTATTTCATCAAACTATCATCAGTAAAAGTGCTGAATTGCAGAAACTGTATGGAACTAAATTGAGTATGTTTTGCTAGCTGGGAGTGTTAATAGCACAACGTATCTGGATGTAAGCCGAGCATTTAGGCCAGAATTGGGCAGAGATACAATCCAAAGTCTCGGCCAACGAGGTTTAAGCTTGGTATGAAGTATTCGGCCCAGATGCGGCCCAACTGAGTTTTGCTATCTGGGAAACTCGATGTTGAAAGGTAAGACGTTGAAACAACGTCGCAATATCAACGTTGATTCATCTTTCAAAATCGTTCCATAATCCGTTTTTTCAACCGTGAATAAACTTTGAAATTCCAGCTGGGGAGTGGCTGAAGCAGCTGCTCAGTCTGAAAGTGCTCCACCTGCACTGTATAAAATGCTCTCGCGCTCCAGCAGGACCACAAAGGCTGAAACCTCAACACAGGTAAGCTGTTCTTCTGTGTATCTGGAGATGTTTCAGGTAGTCAGAACTTTTTAAGGATGTTATTAGAAATTCTGCTCAATGCTGCTTTAAAGAGCTGAACTCAGCTGGGTTTTAATGTAGAACAGAATTAATAAACTTACTAAACTCTGCAGTGCCCAATAAGGGTTTCTGTGGTCAGTTAGGTTTTCTACCACACACGCACACAGAGGTTTGGGATGTATTGGAATACAAGTGTTGTAAATACACATTCAGAATACAGAAATTAAGTATCTGTTCAGTCCAAGTTACATTTTGTAGAGTTAGTATTCAGAATACAGTTACTTTCTACATTTTAGGAGAAAACTTTTAGAACACTTACCTACTAAATTAAGGTTGTGACAGGACGGCAGGAGAGGGGGCAGACCCAGAGAGTGAAACCTGTGAACAAAGCTTTAAATGACAATGAATGAAAGGTATACAATTATAATTGCTGCTATTATTATTATTATTATTATTATTATGCAATTTAAATAAATGGTATTTGGTGTGGATGGGAACTTTTGTGGCGAGAGCACTCTGAGCAGGGACTGACCCGTTCGTATCATCATCCGTTGCGTTACCACCTAAGATTTGGGGTGGAAAAACAGCAGGAAAGGGCAGACAAAGCGACGCTGAGGCAGCAAGAAACAAGCTTAACTCTGCTTTTCCTTAGGAGCTGTTTCTCCTGTAAGCCTCTTCTCTTTTCCTTTCTCTTTTCTTTGGGGCTGTTTCCCTTTTTAACTTTTTTCCTTCTTTTCTGTTCTTTTGGTTTTTGAGACAGACACTTCAGTACCATGCTTGTCACCCTTCTACAAAGGTGTGACACTGACTGCTATTTTGCTATTTGCCACAGCCTTAAATGGGCTTCTCAGAACTAGTTTTCCTCAAGATAATAGCACTTTGCCATTGTTGCCCTCTGCTGGTGGCCAGTGGCACAAGCTGGACCCTTTCAAATGTGTGTGTAAAAAAGTTAGGACAGGATTTAGGAGGTTTAGTCTAGTTAGGATGTTTGTGTGATGCTGTTTTCTTATCTGGAGTTAATGATGAGATGGTGAAGGTAGGAACTGTTATTCTGGAATAGCTACTGTCCTGAATTCAGTCCGTACTGAAGTCGCCATGGAGAATAAACAGATTTCAGAGTTGAGATGTTTAATAAGGCACCTGGTTGAGGGGGAAAAAAGAAAGAACACAGGAATTGTGTTTCAGTATTGAGGAATTGAGTACTAAGGTCCAGATGAGGGGGGCTGAGGGGGATACCTCACCTCCAGAATTCAGGACCGTTTTAACTGCAACATATAAAATAATAGACAAACTAGTAAAGAATTATTTAACATCTACGCTGTGTAGAGTTGAATGATGATTGAAGTGATGACACCAACATATCAGCTTTTATGTGAGGTGGCATTTATTTTCTCTGCCTGCATAAAGAGCACACAGGACCAATCAACAGGCTTCAAACGCTCTTCTCTCTCTCACTGAGAGCTCTCATTTCAGCAGAGCTGTTACACTACATAAGCTCTTAAAACCAAACAGAACAGATCAAAGTTCCAGCATTTCTCTAAAAATGACCGAATGCATCATGGCTTGTTGGTTTAATCTTGTCGCATTAAATAATGAGAATGTTTTGTGAACAACTAGCACCAATGGTCTCACTTCATAATTAGCATGTCAAAGTCACACCTAACAGTGAGTAAAAAGTATTTAAGTGCCCAAAAACACAACCAGTATGTGATTAAATGCTTATATGATTGAATGACTGCATTTTATGTTGAAAACTGAACACAGAGCACATCTTTTAGACAGAATTGCACAGTGGCTGGTGTTTTTCAAAGAGGACGAGTGGTGAGGCTGAACTTCTACTCCACTCACATGAAGGCTGTGTCTATCAGTCTATCTTTGAAGTAATTTGAAGTGAAAGCTGAAGAACAGATGATGGCCGCAGCTCGGGGACATCCACTCATCCTGTGGGTGGTGCTCTTGCTCTGCTTCATCACTCCATCAACAGAATTTGGTAAGATTTCACAGCCATCAGTTAAGATAGTTAAGAGAACTGCAGAACTCTTTAGAGCACTTTGCTTGACTGAAACTAAAAGTACTTACTCATAAGAAAACTTTAAGATTACTTATCAAAACACAATGAGGCTGTTAGTTTGTTAACAGTGCTTATATTTGACTGTGCAGAGCTGGAGGAGCGCGAGTTTGAGGAGTTGGGGGTCGATGTGATCTCTCTGCACAGACTGAAAGGAATGGCTGATCGCTTCTCACACTTCACCACAACAGCCCAGAATGATGATTTGAAGTATGTACAGTAATTAACCACCAAATATGAAAGACAGAGTCGGGTCCAATCGCTCAACAGTCCATGGCCATAGTTATCTGATTCGTTGTCTTATCGAAATAACCATGGACTTCCCAAGAAAAAGTGTCATCTCACTGGCAGATCAAAATCCCAGTATCCCAGCCCACAAAGTTCCGTCTGAACCGACTGTAGCCCACAAAGTTCCGTCTGAACTGACTGTAGCCCACAAAATTCTGTCTGAACTGACTGTAGCCCACAAAATTCTGTCTGAACCGACTGTAGCCCACAAAGTTCCGTCTGAACCGACTGTAGCCCACAAAGTTCTGTCTGAACTGACTGTAGCCCACAAAATTCTGTCTGAACTGACTGTAGCCCACAAAATTCTGTCTGAACCGACTGTAGCCCACAAAATTCTGTCTTAACCTGACTGTAGCCCACAAAATTCTGTCTGAACCGGCTGTAGCCCACAAAATTCTGTCTGAACCGACTGTAGCCCACAAAACTCTGTTTGAACTCAACTGTAGCCTGAAAATTTTATAGCTAAAGTTAAAATCTTCAGTGAAAATCTGCAGCAAATAGCAACACAAATACAAACAGACCTGTAAATCTATTTGCTGTAAATGTGCAACAGAAAATATTAAAGGATACTTCCCTGTAAATAAAGTTCATATACATACATACATACATACATCATCCAAACCGCTTATCCTTCTGGGTCACAGTGGGGTGCTGGAGCCTATTCCAGCTGTCATTGGGCGGAAGGCAGGATACACCCTGGACAGGTCGCCAGTCAATCGCAGGGCTGAATAAAGTTCAGTGAACATGTAAATATTGTTAGTGTCAAAATTTACTTTTCACTCTCTTCGTCTATACAGTATATGTAAACTCTGCTGCAACAACAACCTGTTTTGAATCATTGTTTTTGTGATGTTACAAGAAACAACACATTTTTTAAATATCCACCTTTTCAGAATGAGGCACAAATCATAGTAACCAAACAAAACAGCGCTTATTTATCTTACATCTGTCTAAAATGCACAGTAACAAAGTAAGCCTTTTTCATTCTAAGGGTTAAAGAGAGGTGAATTGTGCCCATGTTTGGTACATAAAGTCACACAAATATCATAATTTAACCTCAAGGAGAAAAAATAAAATACAAAAAATGTGGGATATGGGCTCTTTGACATTGTAGACTGTGTTTGTGTTGTTAGTGTCTTAACGGTCAGTTTTATGTCTGAAGATGGTAAAGATTTTGTTGAGAGCATTGTGAAGAAGCAGAAGGTAAGACGAACACAACATGCTGTAATCTGCTTTATGGATCTGTCTGTTTTTGCGGTGCTAGTTTATTCACTAATCCTAAATCAACTGAAAGAATTAGAAAGGAAATGATATTGGAAAAAACCTTGAGTAAACAGAGTTAAATTAAATGCACTTATAATAAACAAACTGTGTGTTGCTTAAAAAATAAAATATTGTCAACAAATAAGAAGTACTTGTGAACATTTCTAATTTATAAACCTGTTTCCAAAAAGGTGGGACGCTGTACAAAATGTAAATAACAAAAAAAGTGCAAAGATGTGCAAATCATTTAAAGCCTATATTTAATTAAAAATAGAACAAAGACAACGTATAAAATGTTGAAACTGAGAATTTTAATAGTTTTTTGAAAAATATATGACAACTTTGAATTTGATGCCAACAACATGTTTCAAAAAAGTTGGGATGGGGCAACAAAAGGCTGGTACAGTTAAGTAAAGCTAAAAACACACCCGGTGGTTGATTGGCAACAAGTCAGTAACATGATTGGGTATAAAAAAGCATCTCAGAGAGGAGGAGTCTTTCAGAAGTAAAGATGAAGAGGGGTTCATCATTCTGTGAAAGACTGCATAATCAAATAGTGCAACAATTCAAGAAAAACGTTTCTCAACATAAAACAGCAAAGAACTTTTGCTTTTCATCATCTACGGTACATAATAACATTAAAAGATTCAGAGAGTCTGGAGAGATCTCTGTATGTAAAGGACAAAGCCAAAAACCAGTATTTGCATCCACAAATGCTGATAAAACTCTAAAATACAAAGAAGAAACCAAATATAAACAGGATCCAGAAATGCTGCCACCTTCTCTGGGCCCGAGCTCATTTGAAATGGACTGAGGGGAAGTGGAAAAGTGTCCTGTGGTCCAAAGAATCAACATTTGAAATTATTTTTGGAAATCGTGGACCTCCGGGCTAAAGACCACTCAGCTTGTTATCAGTGCACAGTTCAAAAGCCAGTATTCATGATGGTGTAGGGGGCGTTAGTGCACACGGCATGGGTGATGTGCACATCTGTGAAGGCACCATTAATAATGAATCTGTGAAGGCACCATTAATAATTAATGTTTTGGCAACATATGCTGCCATCCAGACGACATCTTTTTCAGGGAAGGCCTTGATTATTTCAGCAAGACAATGTCAAACCACATTCTGCATGTATTACAACAGCATTGCTCCATATTAAAAGAGTCCAGGCACTAAACTGACCTGCCTGCAGTCCAGACCTGTCACCACTTAAAACATGTGGCACATTATCAACTAAGAAATACAACAAAGGAGACCCTGAACTGTTGAGTAGCTGCAATCCTATGTTAAGCAGGAATGGAAAAAAAAATTCTCTTTCTAAACTACAGCAGCATCTCTTCAGTTCCCAAACAGTTATAGAGTGTTGTTAAAAGAAGAGCTGATGAAAAACAGTGGTAAACATAGACTTTAGTTTAGCATTCAACACCATCATCCGTCAGCATCTTGTTGGAAAGCTGAACCTGCTGGGATGCTTCCCTCTGCAATTGGATCCTGGACTTTCTTACTGAGAGACTTCAGTCAGTCCGGACCAGGACAACACACTGAGCACTGGAGCCCCCCAGGGCAGAGTGCTCAGTCCACTGCTGTCCGCTTTGCTGACTCCTGACTGTGTAGCAGCTCACAGTTCTAACCACCACCATAAAGTTTGCTGATATGTTACAATATGCTACCATCTCACTCTCTGCTTCTTGAAATTCCAGATTATGTCTGCGACACTGTATTAAATAACATTTACATAACGTATATTTTTATATTTTATAACATATTTACATATTATTTATACATTATACATATTTTTTAATCTCTCTGTTTTATCATGCAGAATTCCCAAGATCTGGAAAATAGCTCTTGTAACTCCACTGCATAAAGGAGATGAGGCGGCAGATGTAAATAACTACAGACCAATCTCAAAATTGTCCTCTTTAGCTAAACTTTAGCTTAAAATCAACTTAAATCACTTCTTCTTTTCTGTCCTGTTTCATTATCAATTAGGCTTTAGAGAAAGACACAGCACCATCTCTGTTACCACACTGGTGTTGAATGATCTCTATGGGGCCATAGACAGGAAGAAGCTTTGTGCTGCCATTTTTATTGATTTATTAAAGGCTTTTGATACCGTTGATCACATTGTTTTTTAAGGAACTTACAAAAGATTGGCTTTGATACAAATGCACTAAAATGGACTCAGAATTACCTTTCAGGCAGACAATAATGCGTAGCAATTAATTACAAATAATTACAAGTCAGATTTTTGACTATATACAGAGGAGTGCCACAAGGTTCAATTTTGGGCCCAGTTTTATTCAATATATATAAAAATGTATACTTGCTGCCTCTGCCTCAAACTTCAAAGGACACCTGTATGCAGATGACACGGTTTTATACTGTTCGGCTGACTCTGTTTATGCTGCAGTAAGAAAACTACAATGCTCATTTGATGCTCTACAGGTTGATTTGTGTAAACACAAACGCAGACTTTGCGCAGTGGTCCAAATCTCCCATCATCAATACAAGATCTTGGGGGACAATTAAAGAAACTCTGGACAGAAATAAATGTTGTGACATTGCAGAAGCTTGTGGAAACGATGCCACAGTGAATGCGTGCCACAATCAAAGCTGAAGGCGGTCCAACTCAATATTAGAGTGTGTGACCTTTTTTTGGCCAGGCAGTGTGTACACATATATATATATATATATATATATATATACACACACACACGCACATACACACACACACACATACACACATGTAATGTCTGTCTGTATTCCAGTATGTAATCTGCTGATACTGGCCTTCTGTAAAATAGAAGAAATGTCGATAGACTTTGTTTTCACTTATAGTGCTTCTAAACCTCTTTAATTTTGTTGTTTTTTGTCCTTTCTTTACATGCTTTACATTTTCTTTACATCTATGTATTTATGAATAAAAATAATTGTGTGAAGATTTATGTTTGTATTACAAGAGTTGGTTACTTACATGTTCTTTTAATGTTCTCCTGTGTGTGTGTGTGTGTGTGTGTGTGTGTGTGTGTGTGTGTGTGTTTATGCGTATTAAGGCTTTTGAATAGTGGAATAAGAATGGGTCAGTGTGTGTGGTACAAAGAGAAAGAACTATGAAACTGCATCAAAAATAAAAAATTATGGGTAATTAATGAATATACAAATAAAGGTTATATTGTATGTCCTGTAGAATTATGCTGAAGGTAGAGTGAGCAAAACTTTCTTCTTTGTATTATAATTATTGTTGTTGTTGTTGTTTATTACACGAATAAAAATGCAATAAGAATAAGTTCAAGTCTATTACATGCTAGGCCTTATTAAGTCTGTAATGAAGAGCCAGGCATTAGGCTTATGATGCAGAGTAAGTAAAAGTTGGCCTTAGGCTAATGCTAAAGTGCCAGTGAGTACAGGTAGATTAAGAGCTAATCCTTTGGCTATTGCTGCTGGTAAACAAAGTAGTTTTATATAGTTTTATCACTAAGCCTCTAGCTTAGTGCGTAACATAAGGTAGCGTAAAGATAGGATTAACGTAGAGCAAAGCCTTGATTTAGGGCAAGACCTTTGACCGTTGCTGAGGTCAGAGTTAGCACAAGCACGCTTGAAGGCTTCAGAAAAAGTTAGAGTGAACTAAATAAGCTTTCAAGCTAGGCCTCAGGCTTACAATGTAGACAGAGTAAATGATAGCAGGTTAGAGTGAGTTGCAGTAGTTATGGAGCTACAGTTAAATGATGTTAAAGTAGGGCAGGGCCTCAGGCTTGTGAAGGAGTAAGAGTGAGTGTACTGAGATGTATAGTTGGACTTATGATGAAGATGTGGTATGACAGCAGGTACAGAGGCAAGTTTTAGGCTGATGATATAGTTTAAGCAGCCAAATTAAGCTTTTTATTTGTACTCTGGCTCAGAGTGTAGTTAGAGCAAGTAATATTAGACTTTGGGTTTATGGTCAAGTTGGAGAACGTCAAAATGGGTTTAAGGAAAGGCCTTAGGCTTATGATGAAGTCAGAGTAAGCAAAGGGAGGCATCTAGCTAGGTTTTGTGCCTTTATTGTAATAAAATAAGTAACAGTGGTTTCATTGCAAGGTCTTAGGTTCATGAGGAGATAAGGATAAAACATACATCTAAGGTGTAGCTTTATAAGCCCTGTTACTTACTCTGTATATATTTTAAGTCTTATGCTTATGATGAAGCTAATGCAAGCAAAAGTAGGCTTTCAGCGAGGCCTCAGGCTTATAATGTAGATAGCTTAAGTAAGTGTTGCTATAGAGCTCAGCCTTAGGTTTATGAATAAATAAGAGCTTGTAAAAGTCAGTGTAGGCAAGGTCTTAGGCTTCTAAAGAAGTTAGAGTTAGCAAAATGAGATTTCCAGCTAGACCTTAGGTCTAGATAGCGTAAGTGATGGTAGGTTAAGAAGGAGGCCCTAAGCTTGTAGTGTAGTTAGTGTGAGAACAAGATGTTATAGGGCTACAGTTAAATGTTATTAAAGTAATCTTAGGGCAGGGCCTCAGGCTTGTGACGGAGTAAGAGTGAGTGTACTGAGTAATAGTGAATGAACTGAGAACTTTGTAATGTATTGTACTGCACTTATGTATTGTATTATATTGCACTGTTCTGTGTTCAACTCTGTTCCTTTTTCTCTGGGTATCAACATTGACTTTTTGTTTCTATCAGTATCTGAGCTCAGGACTGGCTTTCTCTCTAACCTATTGGTAACCCGCAAAGATACTTTCTCTAGATAGACAAAGCACTTCTTGTAAGTCGCTCTGGATAAGAGCGTCTGCTAAATTCTGTAAATGTAAATGTAAATCTATAGCGCTAAATTAGACTTATGATGAAGCTATAAAATTAAAATCAGGTACAGAACCAGGCTTTAAGTTCATATTGTAGTTGGAGTAGGCCAAATTAGTCTTACAACCTTTCCTCTGGCTTAACGTGTAGTTAGAGTAATAATAAATGTAGAGTTTTTTGAGGTTCATGGTGAAGTTAGTAAAAGTGAAAGTAGATTTAGGGCAAGACCTCGACTGTTACTGAGGTCAGAGTAAGGTGATGACGCCTCCTTGCCCATCCCAAATATTTCAAATCTTTTCAGTTACACATTATTATCTCCAACTTTCATGACTACACTGAAAACCATTACATCCAAACATAGGTTATTTTATTACCTTTCACACCATTATTAACGTCATTAGTTATTCTTATCAATAATTATTCCATTATTTCCAAACCAAGAAGTAAAATACATTTTCAAAGATAATCATAGGCCAAGGCCACAATCAGGCCTAGAGTCTCTCTGCGTATGTGCTTTTCTCCTTCAAAGACATTTTAGTTCTCAGATGGAACAAACAGGTTATTCTCTGAGTGTGTGCCTCTCCTAGATTGGGCCTACTTGGCACACACCACTGCACTTTGCGTTTATACAGAGGGTCTCTCTCTCTCACACACACACACACACACAGGAAGAGAGCTGCACATGACAGAGAGAGCCATACAGTAAAATATAATAATATAATAATGTTTTTCATATGAGCTTGGGACTACTTCCCACTGGTCAAATCAAAGTTCATTTACATTGTTTTTTTTACAACAGCACATCAGCAGAGAGCAGGCTCTGGCCCCGCGTGCCGCTGATGTCACGCCTGTGCTTTACCCGCTCCAAGAGAGCCCGTTTTACACATAGTCAACGAGGGGCTCGGTCGTTGGAAGTTCGCCCGCGCCCTCGCCGAGGTTCTCCCCGAACGCGCCGTTGAGCTCTCCGAAGGTTCACGCCGCCGTTTGCCGCCGTTTTTCACCGATTATCGCGCCAAATACTCCGTCTCTCGTTCGGGGCGGCGACCGCCCGGCGCTCTTTTAAGAGCGTCCTGTAAAACGAGGCGTCGCTGCGCGCCCATTCCCAGACTGGGGACACACAGTAGAGCCTGTTTTAGAGTAGCGAGCCGTTGGACGCTCGCCAAGCGGCGCTTTCGCTCGTATTTTGCCCGATAAATGCCACGAGAAAACACAAATCTGAGCGCGTCACTGAGACACTACTGCACAGCGCCCGCCAGATTGAGTCTACCCCGTTCTCATGTGCCTTTTAAGGGGCCGGCTCCCCGCCTGAGAGGGAGGTTCCTCTGAACGGTGCAGTTCGCGCTCATTGTCGCTCCGCTCGCAGCAAAAGCAGAACGATGGCAGAAGTCGCTCCCGCTCCAGCCGCCGCGCCGGCCAAAGCTCCCAAGAAGAAAAGCGCCGCCCGGCCCAAGAAAGCCGGCCCCAGCGTCGGCGAGCTCATCGTCAAGGCTGTTTCTCAGTCTAAGGAGAGGAGCGGCGTGTCTCTCGCCGCCCTCAAGAAAGCCCTGGCTGCCGGCGGCTACGACGTGGACAAGAACAACTCCCGCGTTAAGCTCGCCGTCAAGAGCCTCGTGACGAAGGGCACTCTGGTGCAGACCAAAGGCACCGGTGCGTCAGGCTCTTTCAAGCTCAACAAGAAGCAAGCCGAGGCCAAGAAGAAGCCGGCGAAGAAAGCAGCGTCCAAACCCAAGAAGGCGGCCGCCAAAAAGCCCGCCGCGGCCAAGAAGCCCAAGAAGGTAGCGGCGAAGAAGCCCGCGGCCGCCAAGAAATCGCCGAAGAAAGCCAAGAAGGTAGCGGCGAAGAAGCCCGCGGCCGCCAAGAAAGTCGCCAAGTCTCCCAAGAAAGCCAAGAAGCCTGCGGCCCCGAAGAAGGCGGCCAAGAGCCCGAAGAAAACAAAGGCCGTCAAGCCCAAAGCAGCGAAGCCCAAGGCGGCGAAAAAGGCCGCCCCCAAGAAGAAGTAACCGTGCCGTTGCCCTTCACGTCCTGCTTCTCCTATTGAAAAAAACGGCTCTTTTAAGAGCCACCCACATTTTCCTCTCAGAGTTACGTTTTCCGTAAGCTGGTCGTTACTGTTAAGTAGCGATATTGGAAAGCGCCAGGCTCGACGTTGTAACGGTGGTGCCGTTTGCATTTACAAAGGAGCCGAAATGGGGTCAAAAAAGCGCGGAAAACTGACTTTATTTCTTTGTTTCCTTCTTTGTCTTTATCTCTTTATATAATAATAATAATGATAACAATAATTATTATTATTATTATTATAATTATAATTAAAAAAACATGATTGATAATAAAACAATTAAGATGAAGGATTAATTATCAAATAATAATTTAAAAGTATATACAGTAATAACAAAACCTATTTATGTCTGCAGCACACAAGATAGTTAATTATCAAATGTATTTTTGTAATTTGGAAGCAAAACAAGAAAAGAAAAACACACCTATATTACGTATATATATATATATATATATATACGAAGGGGAGGGGGAGAAGCAGAGGGCTTGGAGAGGAACGGTGGGCGGACGCTAAAGTTTTATGGCAGGAGCCCGCCAAGGCGTTGGGGCAGAGTCTTGCGATTTGAAATGTTGACGCCCTATAGCTTTCAGCCAACGCGTGGGGAGTCGTCCAATGGGAGGCGGGCACATTCAAGACGCCCAATGAGCGGCGAGCAGCTCGAGCGCTTAAAAGCGCCGCGGTACGTGTCTAAACTTATTCTATAATTTTGATAGAGAGCAGTGCAGTTTGACATCATGGCAAGAACCAAGCAGACCGCCCGTAAGTCCACCGGTGGCAAAGCCCCGAGGAAGCAGCTGGCTACCAAGGCTGCTCGTAAGAGCGCCCCGGCTACCGGTGGCGTCAAGAAGCCTCACCGTTACAGGCCCGGCACCGTGGCTCTCAGGGAGATCCGCCGTTACCAGAAATCCACAGAGCTGCTGATCCGCAAGCTGCCCTTCCAGCGCCTGGTGCGGGAGATCGCTCAGGACTTCAAGACCGATCTCCGCTTCCAGAGCTCTGCCGTCATGGCCCTGCAGGAGGCTAGCGAGGCGTACTTGGTGGGTCTGTTCGAGGACACTAACCTGTGCGCCATCCACGCCAAGAGAGTCACCATCATGCCTAAAGATATCCAGCTGGCCCGCCGTATCAGAGGAGAGCGCGCTTAAATTCAACGGAGCGCTGCCAGGTTTCCCCCCAAACACCCCAACGGCTCTTTTAAGAGCCCCCTAACTTTTCTGTCCAAAGGAGCAACTGTCCTAGATAGCGTCCCCCACCCCGAGTTCTCTTAAGTGCTGTGACTTAATTGAGGAGATGGTTCTGTTGCTGATGAGTGGCTTGAGAATGATTCGTTTCAACCGCCCATATTACAAAGCTTGTCGCTCAGTATTTACCCAGCACTACGAACACACACCAAAAATAAATAATAAACACTGCTCTTCGACATTCTGTATGCGGGTGCTATGTCTAGGTTATTTACAACCTTACAAATTAGCAGCAGAACTTCATATCCTGAGCGTTTTATTTTATATGTACATTTTATATATAAAAATACGTATTTAAGCATTTAATTAATCCCTTTTGGTACACAGCGCAACACTACCTGCACAAAAGAGCACACGAACAGACAGAAATTGGGCGGGAAAAATCAACTGGCACGGCAGAACCCCAAATAATATTTTCTCCCCAACTCCGCAAATCATCGTGTTTTCACTCACACAACGGAAACAAAAAAGCTCTTTGTGCGAAAACGTGGGTGGCTCTTAAAAGAGCCGTTGGGTTTAATGAAGTCTCCGTCACTATCTATAAAATATCTATCTATAAAATTATATATTTATTCCAAATGTAGCAACGCACAGACGCACACACACACACGCATATTTAAAAAGTATTTTGGTGTTTTATTATTCTTACAGGCTTCTAACTCCATAACAATGCGTTACTTTGCGTTTAGAGTAGCTTAGGTTAACGTACTTTGAGATGTAATTATTAAATATTTTTAAAATTAAGATGAAATGTTTTACAATTGATAAAAAAATCTTTCTTTTTTGCTCTCTTTCGTTCTTTTTCTTGTTCTTTTTGTTTTGTACTTTAGACATTTTTTTACATGTCGCCTTAAAATGACATGAGATTTAGAAGGCTGTGAAATGATAACGCTAAAAACTGTTGTGCGTGGCTCCGCCTCCTGTTTATTGATTTCATCTAGGTCCTGTAGAGGAGTATAACAGGCGCGGACGGCGCTCCGCTTGTCACTGGTTCTTTTCGCAGTGCTCAGGAGAGGAACGAAGCAGCATGTCTGGAAGAGGAAAAGGCGGTAAAGGTCTCGGGAAAGGAGGCGCTAAGCGTCACCGTAAAGTGCTGCGCGATAACATCCAGGGCATCACGAAGCCGGCTATCCGCCGTTTGGCTCGCCGTGGCGGTGTCAAGCGTATCTCGGGTCTGATCTACGAGGAGACCCGCGGCGTGCTCAAGGTGTTCCTGGAGAACGTGATCAGGGACGCCGTCACCTACACCGAGCACGCCAAGAGGAAGACCGTCACCGCCATGGATGTGGTTTACGCCCTGAAGCGTCAGGGACGAACCCTGTACGGCTTCGGAGGTTAAGCGCTCGACTCGAACAACGATAAACACAACGGCTCTTTTAAGAGCCCCCCCACACCCCCACCAGAAGAGCTTTTCCTTATGACCCAATAACATCACCAAACTTTATATTATGCCTTCCTTAGTAATTTTACTTTTTCAAGACCTTAATCTGATACTGGAACAAGCGGAGCGGTGGCGAATGTTTAAACTAGCTCGAAATCCTTTAAACATGTTTAGAATTGTACTATCATTTTATTTCATGCGCTTTCGTGAGTTGATGGGCAAAACATTCTCAGGAATGAGGGGAAAAAAGAAACGTTATATTTGTAATAAGCCCGATAAGGACGTTTGTATTGTACGTGATACTCAATAGCTAAGAATGCGCGGGAAGGTGAACAAAGGAAGAGACATTGATTTATATAAGGTTTTATTTATTCATATATTATGTATATTTATTTTTAGATTTATCATTATTCTTTGGAATTCTACTTCATATTAATTTACTAATTTAGTAATTTAGTGACTTTTTAATTATTTTTTTTTTCATTTTGGCAAATCTGCTCCTCCATAATCCAGGGTTGTGTCTGTATTTATGAAATACGTTCATGATATATTTCAGATGCTACATTGTATAGGCGGGCGCTAAAAGCAGTAATTTTTTTTTGGTGTTAATAGTGTTTGGTAAAAATTGAGCAGAAAGCTGTGTAACACGAGCATGTGAAGCAGATCATACTCAGTCGCAGTACTTAAAGTAACTTTGAGATTACCAGGATAGTTGCTCTTTTGGACAGAAAAGTTAGGGGGCTCTTAAAAGAGCCGTTGGGGTGTTTTGGGGGAAACCTGGCAGCGCTCCGTTGAATTTAAGCGCGCTCTCCTCTGATACGGCGGGCCAGCTGGATATCTTTAGGCATGATGGTGACTCTCTTGGCGTGGATGGCGCACAGGTTAGTGTCCTCGAACAGACCCACCAAGTACGCCTCGCTAGCCTCCTGCAGGGCCATGACGGCAGAGCTCTGGAAGCGGAGATCGGTCTTGAAGTCCTGAGCGATCTCCCGCACCAGGCGCTGGAAGGGCAGCTTGCGGATCAGCAGCTCTGTGGATTTCTGGTAACGGCGGATCTCCCTGAGAGCCACGGTGCCGGGCCTGTAACGGTGAGGCTTCTTGACGCCGCCGGTAGCCGGGGCGCTCTTACGAGCAGCCTTGGTAGCCAGCTGCTTCCTCGGAGCTTTGCCACCGGTGGACTTACGGGCGGTCTGTTTGGTTCTTGCCATGATGGCAAACTGCACTCCTCCCTACCAAAGCTATAGAATAAGTTTAGACACATACCGCGGCGCTTTTAAGCGCTCGAGCTGCTCGCCGCTCATTGGGCGTCTTGAATGTGCCCGCCTCCCATTGGACGACTCCCCACGCGTTGGCTGAACGCTATTGGGCGTCAACATTTTGAAATCACAAGACTCTGCCCCAACGCCTTGGCGGGCTCCTGAACCACATTATCTCCTACATGTCGTGTGTAATGTTCGTCAGATTTTTGGTTCTTTCATTATTACACGCCATTTATTTCACCTTCACGCGCGTAGCTGTAGGCGTCTATGTAGATTTGTTCACCTTGTGTTCAAGTAAAATGAAAGCTAAACTGAACGCAGTATGCAATCGCGGGACGTGGCGATGCTGTGATCCTTTTATTTCGCTTTAATGTACACAGTAACCTGACAACTGATCGAAAACCGCTTTTGTACGGTTTTTACATGGGAAATGAAAAGGAAACGTGCACTTTTGTTGCTAAGGTGGGTGGCTCTTAAAAGAGCCTTTGTTTTTTTTCCAGTTTAGCGGAAAAACCCAGTTTACTTGGTCTTGGCCGCCTTCTCGGTCTTCTTGGGCAGCAGTACAGCCTGAATGTTGGGCAGCACGCCACCCTGAGCGATGGTCACTCCTCCGAGCAGTTTGTTGAGCTCCTCGTCGTTACGAACAGCCAGCTGCAGATGACGAGGAATGATACGGGTCTTCTTGTTGTCGCGAGCGGCGTTGCCGGCCAACTCAAGGATCTCAGCGGTCAGATACTCCAACACGGCAGCCAAGTAGACGGGAGCGCCGGCGCCGACGCGCTCGGCGTAGTTCCCTTTGCGCAGCAGCCTGTGAACACGGCCCACAGGGAACTGCAGCCCGGCGCGGGAGGAGCGAGTCTTGGCCTTCGCTCTAGCTTTACCTCCGGTTTTTCCTCTTCCACTCATTTTCACTTCCTTTCGCTTTGCAGAACTAAGCTGAAATAGAAGACAACGGTCTCTGGTCGCCCTCCATATAGGCAAAGCTGCTGTGTTTCTATTGGCTAAAATGCGATGACTTCCAACAACCAATCATATTAGCGTCGTCAAAGTTTAGGGTCCGCCCACCGCTCCTCTCCATGCTCTCTGCTTCTCCCCCTCCCCTTCGTGTGCGTGTGTGTGTGTGTGTGTGTGTGTGTGAGAGAGAGAGAGAGAGAGAGAGAGAGAGAGAATACATAAGATACTTTGGAAAATAAAGATTTTGATTATATTAGGAGGTCCATCAGCCAGATATGTATGAGTGACATTCACTCCAGGACAGTGAGAGACCACCAAACCACAACTTGCCCTTTTATGTAGCATAGGTGTGCTTTTATATATTGGTGTGTGCTGCAGACACATATTAAATAGATTTTGTTTTATTGTTGTATATACTTTTATATCATTAATTTCATTATTTTCTCTTTATTGTTTTATTGCTATCATGGTTTTGTAATTATTATTATACAAAGAGATGAAGACAAGGAAAGAAACAAATAAAGTCCCTGTTTTCTCGCTGTTTTTCCAACCCATTTTCGCTCCTATTCTCATTCATGTAAATGCAAACGGCAACTTGACTATAATGTCGAGCCTGGCGCTTTCCAATAATGTCACTACTGACTAGCAATGACTAATTTTTAAGTGCAACACGAAGAAAAATCTAACTCTTTGAGAGGAAAATGTGGGTGGCTCTTAAAAGAGCCGTTTTTTTTTCAATAAGAGAAGCAGGACATGAAGGTAAACAGCACATTTACTTATTGGGAGCAGCCTTTTTCACCACCTTGGGCTTGACGGCTTTTGTTTTCTTTGGGCTCTTGGCCACCTTCTTCGGGACCGCCAGCCTTTTGCTTTCTTGAGAGACTTGGCAACTTTCTTGGTGGCTGCTGGCTTCTTCAGCGCTACCTTCTTGGCGGCTTCTTTTGCTTCTTGTTGAGCTTGAAAGAGCCTGATGCACCGGTGCCTTTGGTTTGCGCCAGACTGCATTTCGTCAAAAGGCTCTTGACGGCGAGCTTGACACGGAACTAACCCTAACCCCCACCGGGCCAGAGCCTGCTCTCTGCTGATGTGCTGTTGTACAAAATGTAAATGAACTTTGACTTGACAAGTAGGAAATAACCCCAAGCTCACATGGAAAACATTATTATATTATTATATTTTACTGTATGGCTCTCCCTGTGTGTGTGTGTGTGGGTGACCCTCAGTATGAAAGCAAAGTGCAGTGGTGTGTGCCAAGTGGGCCCAATCTAGGAGAGGCACACACTCAGAGAATAACCTGTTTGTTCCATCTGAGAACTAAAATGTCTTTGAAGGAGAAAAGCACATACGCAGAGAGACTTAGTTATAACCATATTGAATAGTGGGAATACACAAAGTGAATAAAGTTTAAAGGTCTAGGCCTGATTGTAGCCTTGGCCTATGATTATCTTTGAAAATGTATTTTACTTCTTGGTTTGGAAATAATGGAATAATTATTGATAAGAATAACTAATGACATTAATAATGGTGTGAAAGGTAATAAAATAACCTATGTAAGGTTTGGATATAATGGTGTTCAAAGTAATCATGAAAGTTGGAGATAATGATGTGTAACTCAAAAGATTTGTAACATTTGGGATGGGCAAGCTGGGGTCATCACCTTACTCTGACCTCAGCAACAGTCAAGGTCTTGCCCTAAATCTACTTTCACTTTTACTAACTTCACCATGAACCTCAAAAAGGCCTAACTCTACATTTATTGTTACTCTAACTACATGTTAAGCTTGAGGCCTAGCTGTAAGACTAATTTAGTCTACTCTAACTACAATATGAGCTTAAAGCCTGGTTCTGTACCTGATTTTAATATTGATGAAATATTTTGCTTGCTTAAACTATATCATCAGCTAAAAGCCCAGCTCTGTACCTGCTATCATTCTACAACTTCATTATAAGTCATTATAACAGCTCACTATACATCTCAGTACACTCACTCTTACTCCTTCACAAGCCTGAGGCCCTGCCCTACTTTAACATCATTTAACTGTAGCTCCATAGCTACTGCTAGTCACTCTGTCTACATTGTAAGCCTGAGGCCTAGCTTGAAAGCTTATTTAGTTCACTCTAACTTTTTCTGGAGCCTAAGGCTTTGCCCTACGTTAATCCTATCTACATGATAAGCTCCACAGCTACCTTTATTAACTCTGACCACTTTAGAAGCCAGAGGCTTAGTGATAAGTCTATATAAAACTACTTTTACTTACACTGCCAGCAGCAACAACCTAAGGTTTAGTTCTTAATCTACCTGTACTCATTGGTACTTTAGCATTAGCCTAAGGCCAACTTACTCTAACTGCATAAGTCTTAATGCCTGGTTCTACATCACAGATGTAAGGCCTAGCATCTAACCTACTTTAACTTAGTCTAATTTCATAAACATTTTGCTCACTCATTCATTACACTTCTACAGAACATGAAATATAACTTATTTTACTACAAGCCTTACCATTACCCACACAATAGAGTAACTACTGGCAAGTAATTATGCAGTAAAACAGACTGAAATGCAGACAACCCTAGCTTATATTTTCTCCCCAACTCCGCAGAAACATCCTGCTCTCCCTGACATTCGCAAACGTAAAGGGCTCTTTGTGCGAAAACGTGGGTGGCTCTTAAAAGAGCCGTTGGGTTTAATGAAGTCTCCGTCACTTCTTACTTGGAGCTGGTGTACTTGGTGACGGCCTTGGTGCCCTCGGACACGGCGTGCTTGGCCAGCTCACCGGGAAGAAGCAGGCGCACGGCGGTCTGGATCTCCCTGGACGTGATGGTGGAGCGTTTGTTGTAATGAGCCAAACGGGACGACTCACCGGCGATGCGCTCGAAGATGTCGTTGACGAACGAGTTCATGATGCCCATCGCCTTGGAGGAAATGCCGGTGTCGGGGTGGACCTGCTTCAGCACCTTGTACACGTAGATAGCGTAGCTCTCCTTCCTGGACTTTCTGCGCTTCTTGCCTCCCTTACCAGCCGTCTTGGTCACGGCTTTCTTGGAGCCCTTCTTCGGGGCGGACTTGGCGGGTTCAGGCATGATTTTCTTCTCTTCGAGTAAAACTGAAGAATGAGGAGGAGCGCCCGGCACCGGCTTATCTAGACTCCGATATTCAAATTATAGCTCCGCCCTTCTGAACGGCTCACTTGGCGGACAACTCCCAGCTCCCCCTCCTTCTCCTCCTCCCAGCTAAAGACTTCCTTTGTTCACCTTCCCGCGCATTCTTAGCTACCGTGCGTCATGTACAATACATACGTTTCTATCAGGTTTATTCCATAAACACACACACACACACACACACATGCTAGTTACACGCTCAAGAACTCAGGAACGCGCGTGAAATATATCACATTTTTGGCACAGTGCAAGGTTTAAAAATGTGACTGTGTGTGTGAGATGGTAGGATGCACATTCTATTCTCGTTTTATGTTTTATTTATTTTTATTCTTATATTATACACAACTGCGAAGTGTAAATAATAATTTAAACTCTGCTGAGAGCTCCTGTAACCAAAACCAAAATCCTTGTATGTGTTAAGCGTACCTGGCCAATAAAGCTGTTTTAAAGCTTTAAAAATTTTTATTTTTCTTGAGTGGCTTGAGAATTCCCCCGTTGTAGGACTAATAAAGCAGTATCCTGATTCTGGAATAAAATGATTATAATATTTAAAACACTTTTGGGGGAGAGGGGGCGTCTGGTTAGTTTAAACTTTCGCCCCCACTCGTCTAGTTATTCCGGTATTAAATTAAGGTCATTCAGTCAGCCTTTAAGAGGTAAAATCACTAGCGAGTCAGAATGAAAAAGTCTGTTTTCATTATTATTGGGTCATAAGGAAAAGCTCTTCTGGTGGGGGTGTGGGGGGGCTCTTAAAAGAGCCGTTGTGTTTATCGTTGTTCGAGTCGAGCGCTTAACCTCCGAAGCCGTACAGGGTTCGTCCCTGACGCTTCAGGGCGTAAACCACATCCATGGCGGTGACGGTCTTCCTCTTGGCGTGCTCGGTGTAGGTGACGGCGTCCCTGATCACGTTCTCCAGGAACACCTTGAGCACGCCGCGGGTCTCCTCGTAGATCAGACCCGAGATACGCTTGACACCGCCACGGCGAGCCAAACGGCGGATAGCCGGCTTCGTGATGCCCTGGATGTTATCGCGGAGCACTTTGCGGTGACGCTTAGCGCCTCCTTTCCCGAGACCTTTTCCACCTTTTAAAAACTTTATTTAGTTAGCAACAATTCAACATATAAACAGACAGAGCATAAGAAAGACAGCATATACATACACATACCTTAACACCTTACAAATCAAAAATGTCCCACAAGTCAGCGTCTTTGAATGGCGTGTTCAACGTCCGCAGTCTCTTTAGTTCAATTTTAATTTGTTTAAAAACGTCTCTGCTGGACACGAATTGTTGGTCTATGGTCATCCGACATCTTGTTTTCCAAAGTTTAGACTTTACAATAGCGATGATAAACCACAAGAACTCATGTTTCCTATTATCTACTTTTTCATCAAAAATCCCATATATTATAGATTTCATATGTATATTTATTTCTAAACCCATATCCTTAACCATCTCCCACACTTCTTGAGAGCGATAACAGTTGAATAAAAAATGGTCTAAAGTCTCTTCTTCTTGGCAATTTGGCATGGGGCATAAAGTGGTTTTCACAAAGCAGCTCCATCTTACTACAGCTCTCACTGGCAGCCTTCTTACGGCCATCAGCCATGAGAGATCTCCCTGTTTGTCAGAAAGTTTTTTACACAGAAGATTTTTAATACACGTGTCATTTTCTTCTCCTACAAGATTTCTAAATTCTACCTTTGAGCCGCACTCTTTATCAGTTATTAACCCATATATCTTTTTATTTGAATCAGTAATCCAATCAATATCTAAATGTTTGTATTTGTTTATAAAATCACCATATAACAACTTATAATAGGGTACTGATGTTCTAGCACGACCCTTTTTTTGTTTCCAATTGGTAATATTTCCAATCCAATCTGCTTGTCTATTTATACCATTTGCAATGATTTTACACACAGAGATTTTGGTTTTAATGGCGATATCTATGGCTCCTAATCCCCCCAAATCTTTCCTCTTATATAGCAAGTTTCGTTTTGTTACTTCTCTAGTGGAATCCCATATAAAATTACAACATAATTTATTCATAATTTTGAGCCATTTATCCGTAGGTGGAAATATGCAAGATAAAAATAAAATTTTTGATAAAATATAAGTCTTAACTATATTTATTCTAGTTTTATAGCTTAAATCACAATTTTTCCATTTACTCACTTCTTCTTTTATAACTTCTACTTTTCCATTCCAATTATTCTCGACACAATCTTTATTGTTTATACAAATTCCTAAAACCTTTAAATTTTGAGTTTCTGGTATATTAACCACAAACTTATTTTCAGGATTCCCTATCCAAACACATTCAGATTTAGAGACATTTAGTCTTGCTCCTGATACTTGTTCATACATTTTAAAATGTTCAAATATTGCATCTAATTCATTTTTAGATTTAATAAAAACAGTTATGTCATCTGCATAAGCAGAGATCACAACTTTCCTTCCACCTACAGTTACTCCTTTTAAACGCTCATCGTTCCTAACTTTTGTGATCAAAGGACTTATTGCCAATACATAAAGAGCTGCACTAAGAGGGCAACCTTGCTTTACACCCCTCGTAACTTCAAAGGAATCTGTCAAATTGCCATTCACATTAATCTGTATATTGCTTTTGGCATATAAACACATGATCATTTTAATAAAATTATCAGGAAAATTATACATTCTAAACACTTCCCATAAATAAGTTCTAGAGACATAATCAAAAGCTTTTTTCTGATCAAGAGTAACAATATAAAAACTTTCACCACTCTCATATACCAGTTCTCTTAAAGTGTTCAAATTATCCCACATAGCTCTCCCTTTAATAGCACATGTTTGCTCTTTAGCTATGATTAAATCCAAAATATCATTTAATCTATTCATTATTACTTTTGCAAAGATCTTGTAATCAACATTCATCAAAGTAAGGTGTCTCCAGTTGTTAATATCACTGGCATCACCCTTTTTATACAATAATGATAACACCCCATCATAAAACGTGTCATACATATAACCTTTTCCAATACCTTCATTAAACACCCGTGTAAGTAAGTTAGATAAGTCGAAAATACACATTTGATAAAATTCCGAGGGCAAGCCATCTTTCCCAGGAGATTTCCCAGTGTTTAGCTGTTTAATGGCAGACACTACTTCACTTTCTATTACCTCATCTCCCAAATGATCAAAATAATAATTATATTTAAAGTTCAAAAAGGACTTTAACATGTTAACATCTATTTCTATTTCTTGATACATTTCCTCACAAAGCTCTTTTATTGTATGTCTAACTTTTCCTGATTCGGTAATAATAATACCACTTTTATCTCTGATGCTAGTAACACAAGATCTTTGCTTTTGTTTTGAAAACAGATGAGATATTTGAGATGGATTCAAAGTTTCATCAAGATGAACACCAAGTTTAATCTGCAATTTCTGTAAATGTTCATTATTCATAACATCAATTTCATCCTTTAATTCACGTAAACTATTTTCTTCAACTGCAGTTATGCATGGTTTTAATTTCAAGTTAATATATTGCTCCATTATATGGTTATATCTCTCGTTTTTTTCCTGATTAATTAATTTGCTTTTATATTTAAAATAATTTTTAACACGTGTTTTTAAAATTTCCCATACTTCATACTTATCTTTGGTCAGAATATTTAGAGATCTAATTCTTGCAAGCTCATCTTTTAATTCCAACAAAATATTGGGATATTTTAAGATTTTTGTATTCAATTTCCAATAGTTGACACTTTTATCATTTAAAAAATTTATTGTAGATGTAACTGTCAAATGATCAGAATCTATAAGCATTTTAGTTTTATATGAAATTACAGTAATTTTTTTATTAACATAAATTCTATCTATTCTAGTTTTACATGTTCTATCAAACCTTGTAAAGTCTATACGATCAGGATAAACCATTCTAAATGTATCCTGCATATTGTATTCGTTCATTATTTGTTTCAAAACATTACCTTCTCTACCGATTTTACTTGACCTTTCTGCTATTCTGTCTCTCTCATCTGTAACTGTATTAAAATCACCACAGACAATTACATAAAATCCTACACATAGCAAAGTTTTAATTTTATTAAAAAGCTGTATTTTTCTAACTCTATCTTGGGCTGTATATAAATTTATTATTCTATTTTTTTTTCCAAATAAAAACATCAACAAACATTAACCTGCCTGGAATAATTTCTCTTAATTGGATAACGGCAACATTTTCAGAAAAGAAAAGGATTCCTATTCCATCTGCTCTACTGTCACCTATTGAAAGAAAGGACTTTCCCTTCACCCATAACTTTTGTACTTCAGCAACATCTTTAAAAGTAGACAACCTTGTTTCCTGAATACACAATATGTCTAATTTCTCTCTTAACAATATATTAATTTTTTTAGATCTATTTAAGGCAGATTGAATACCACGAACATTGCAAGAAGCAACAAGTAAATTATAAAAAGGCATGCATGATACATCAGTTCTCAACTTTTTTTCTGATTTTTTTTCTTCTTCTTTACAGCATTACCTTCAGTCTCAGTCGAGGAGTTCAGCTTCCGTTTCTCATTTTCAGCTTTCAGAACTTCTGGATCCTTTTCAGTTGTCTTTTCAATATCCATTTGTTGATCCTCTGTGTACTCGTCCGGTGCTTTCTTTCCTTTTTGTGACGGTTCCTTCTTTTCTTCCTCCGAAGACTCACTAAAATCTCCACTCTCTGATGAGTCACTTGACGAGTCGCTGTCCGAGCTCTCATCCGGGCTTGATTCGTCATCCGCTTCTGAAGTCTCCATTTGGGCTGCTTCCTCTTTAGATTTTTTTCCTTGGGCATGTTTGGAAGCTTCTTTTCCTTTCTCTACATCCTTGGCAGAAATTGTAACTGCACCTTGAGCTTGACCACTCAGCATCTGGACTGTAGCATCCACTGACAATTCTGTTGCTGCACCAGTTTCCGCACGCTGTAAGTTGTCATGTCTTGGAACACTCGGCTTTTGCTTGGATTTATTGGCGTAGGATTTAGGGCATGTGAAGAAAATGTGCCCCACGTCTCCACACAAAGTGCAGGTGGCAGTGTTTCCACATTCCATAGCCTTATGGCCAAATCCTCCACACTTCCAGCATTTCGTTTCTAGACATTCTTTAGCCTGGTGTCCTGTAGACTGGCACACATAACATGAGGAGGCTTGACCTTGATAGCTAATTTTGCCGTTGTAAGGGCCAAAGGAAACAGAATTTGGGATGGGCATCATCTTGCCTTCAGCATCTTTGCGGAGTTTTACTTGATATTTCCTAATCCCATACCACATTCCAAAATTATCCACAGGTTTAACTGCGGGCTTTAAGACATCACAGAATCGTTTTAAGTACAGTTCAACATCATAATCAGAAATGCGTCCAGTCCAGAACTTGATAACAAGTGTCTTAACATCCAGGTTTGCAGGGGAAAATACTTCAAAATCCTTCCAAGCATGTTGGTTGGAAGAGTGCAGCTCAAGGAACACATGTAAAGCTTTTTCTGTGTTGAAACAAATTTCAAACTCTTTTCGATTCGGTAAACTTATGAAAGAATAAATGTCCTGTAAGGTGATCCACTGGGACTGAAAAAGGAGTTCACCAACATAGTTACGGTCTGGTGGTTCTCCAAGTCCGATATATTTCAACTTAACCCAATATTTGATGAAGCGATCGCTGAAGGCTCCACGAGACGCCATTGCCGCGTCGAGACCTTCAGCGTAATAAGACGAAACTTTGTGCCTTAAAAGTCCACAAACAGGAAGAAAATCCAAAATGTAAGAGTAGGAAACAGGGACCGCAGACACCGCAAGGTGCTGCGGTCAAAAAGACCACACTAATTCTCTTCTTTACACTTCAATTTCCACCTTTTCCTCTACCGGACATTCTGCCTACTTTGCTTCCCACGTAACGAGAATACAATCAGTGACAGGGTAGAGCGCCGTCCGCGCCTGTTATGCTCCTCTACAGGACCTAGTTGAAGCCAAGACACGGGAGGCGGAGTCACGCACAACAGACACTACAGAGAAAACAGCAACACGATGGAATCAAAGATACAGCCATAAAATAAATATCACTTGTATTACTATAATTATGACTATTATCAATACATTTTTTAGTAGTTGCACTTTACAGCCTTCTAAACCGCATTTCTTTTGAAGTCGAAATGTCAAAAATTGTCCAAAGTAGAAATGTGTGTTATATACAATATATTACTATGTATGAGGGAGTTTATGCAGGAAATAAGTGCTACAGCTCTCATTCACATGTCACTGATAAGTCTTGGGCGCCATCCTGTGGTCAAACCGTGAACAGGCAAGTCTGAGAAAGACCATCAGACTCCTTACTGTAAAGGCTGAACTACTGTATGAAATGATGTGGTTTGGTTAATTACGCTAAAATTATTAACATTCTATTTCCCATTTTATTCACTCAGCCTCACAAACACAGCAATTCAAGAAGTCACTCAGCTACACAATGTTTCCACACAGGGAAATATCTAACATCTGAAACTTGCAGGTTCACATTTTGACCACACGATGGCATCCAAGCGCCATCGATGACAAACCGCCCTCAGCCCAAAACAGCTGGGATGGTCTTTCTGCACTGTTTTCGCTTCTCTGATCAGAAAAAAAAATAATAATAATAATAAATAATAATAATAATAATACGTTTTTTTTTAATGAACCAGAAAGAAAACCCTTTTGTTTTTCACAAGAAGCTCAGATTTTTCTCTGAGGAAATGTCCCTCCCCCCGTTTTCAATGTAAGATTGCATCAAACTCTTCTTCAGTGTAAGTAGCTCACACTCATTCTCTGTGTCTCTTTCTACAATGAACACACACACACACTTTTTAAAGCCTTGTCTTTATGATGAACATCAGAGAAACATGGAGCGAGTTTACAGAGAAATGTTTGACATTCAGCAACTTCTTTTCGCCGTTATGTTTAATGTTATGACTGCATTTCACAAAGATAAAATGCACTGATGTAATAAAATGACTTAAGGTCAGCTGCAGGCACTTTAAATCTGTTTAGCATCTAAAATCACTGTGTTTTCATAGAAGTTCATTTTAATTTCTTTGTCAGTCCTTTGATATTTGCTGTCTTCTGCCATGTTTTCTAGCAACAGCTGGGAATAACAGAATCGCCTGATCAGCCATATGACGGCCCAAGCCATCAGGCTGCTGAACAGCCAGTAGTGCTGGTGTATCGGTCAGTGGGCCGGTCACTACTCCTCTGAATCATCATCATGATGATCTCCACAAACAACCCACATCAACAGACTCACTCAGACTTCTTACTGTAACTTCTGTCTAGCCAACCTATACCTGCACAAATACATTGATATATTGTACATCAATATCTATAAACCAATATTGTATTTAATTTATCTACTATCTGTTCTATTTCATAACTCAAATTATATATTTACCACTGTGTTTCTCTTCTTTTAACAGCACTCTGTAAGTGTTTGTGAATTGAGGAGACTCTGCTGTAGTTTAGAAAGTGAAATGTTTTCCTGTTCTTGTTTGATACAGGATTTCAGCTGATCAACAGTTCAGGGTCTCATTTGTTGTATTTTTCATTTTATAACGTGCAAAATGTTATCAGTGGTGACAGATCTGGACTGCAGGCAGGTCAGTTTTGCACCAGGCCTCTTTTAATACAGAACAATTTTAATCTTTTTTTGGGACATTGCGGAAAATGCAATTTGCTCAGACTATAAACTAATATAAAAACTGCAGCAGAATTTCTAGTTCTTCAATATTTTGATAGTCTATGTTGAGCTTTAAACATAAAACCATCAGTTTGTTGAGACGTTTCAAAAATAAAAGTATAACACAGGACATAAGCAGAAAATGTAATTTGCACATTCTACCATCGGGCTGGGTGACAAAACTATAGCACAATGCTTGAAGACATTTTCTTGACATGCAATATGTACCACAATATTTCTTTTTTTTTTGAGATTTGTTAAGTTGGAACAGACAGAATTTATCAGATATTGCCACTTTTTACAAATACTGTATTAAAACTATGAATACAATGATTTAAATTTAACCTTCCATATACACTATATTCCCAAAAGTATTGGCTTGTCTGCCTTCACACGCATATGAACTTGAGTGACATCCCATTCTTAATCCATAGGGTTTAACATGATGTCAGCCCACCCTTTGCAGCTATAACAGCTTCAACTCTTCTGGGAAGGCTTTCCACAAGGTTCAGGAGTGTTTGTGGGAATTTCTGACCATTCTTCCAGAAGTGCATTGTGAGGTCAGACACCGATGTTGGATGAGAAGGCCTGGCTCGCAGTCTCCACTCTAATTCATCCCAAAGGTGTTCTATCAGGTTGAGGTCAGGACTCTGTGCAGGCCAGTCAAGTTCTTCCACACCAAACTCGCTCCTCCATGTCTTTATGGAGCTGGACGGAGAAGACAGAGAAGCGTGATTGGTCACTCCAGAGAACACGTCTCCACTGCTCTAGAGTCCAGTGGCGGCGCTTTACACCACTACATTCCATGCTTTGCATTGCTTTTGGTGATGTAAGGCTTGGATGCAGCTGCTTGGCCATGGAAACCCATTCCATGAAGCTCTCTACGCTGTTCTTGAGCTATCATTGGGGTCCGACCACTTCCTGGCTGAGTTGCTGTCATTCCCAATCGCTTCCACTTTGTTATAATACCACTGACAGCTGACTGTGGAATATTTAGCAGTGAGGAAATTTCACGACTGGACTTGTTGCACAGGTAGCATCCTATCACGGTACCACGCTGGAATTCACTGAGCTCCTGAGAGTGACCCATTCTTTCACTAATGTTTGTAGGAGCAGTCTGCAGGCCTAGGAGCTTTGTTTTATACAGCTGTGTCCATGGAAGTGATTGGGACACCTGAATTCAGTGATTTGGATGGGTGAGTCAATACTTTTGGAAATAGTGTATTGCACTGATCCAAATCCAATTAAACATGAGTAATTATGCTGTCTTTGTGATGAAACATGCAGTTGGTCAGTGGCCTTTTTGCCATGTTTACAAAGTCACAATTTAAAATGCTTATTTCCCCCTGTTACACGGTGTCTGCGAGCAGAATGTCAGGAAGATACAATAACTATTTGAAAACACTATAGACTCAAACCTTTAGGATTCACAGGGTCAAATTACAGTAAATGTTTCTACAGTAAATGTTTTTCTGTTTCAGGAGTTTTATATTGAGCTAGATTGTGTATCAAATATGAGAGTCAGATTTCTGAGACATAAATAGGGAGCAATAAACAGAAAGTACCTACAAAGCATAGAAACAGTAAGAACCCCATATCCTATGGTCTCTCTAATTCCACTCCTTATCCTGGTGTAACTTTTTAAAATGTTTTGACAGTAAAAAAGGATGACAACAGTAAACAAAAAGTAAATGTAGGAACTCTATTCAGTGGTGCTTTTACACAATGAAATATTAGAAAAAAGTTCGACGTTCTCTTAGATTCCACACTAAAATATTTGTAAAGTATTTTGTAAAAAGATAAGCTATTATAGTTGTGTTAAGATGCGCCATCCACAGGTGTCAGAATGAAACTGCAGCATCATTTAAGGTGGAACAGAAAACTTGAATAAGTGTCAGGCTGACGGACTGTACATCAGAGACTGTATTCAGCAGCACAGGAGCACCACAAGCGACTGTACTCCCCCTCCCCCCCTTCTCTTTACACTGTACACCTCAGACTCTCAGTACAAATCTGAGACATGCCACATGCAGAAGTTTTTGGATGACACTGCCATTGTGGTTTTTGTAAAGGGAGGGTAGGAGGAGGAGTACAAGACCCTGGTGAAGGACTTTGTGACATGGTGCCATAGGAACAACCTGCTACTGAACACTTCCAAGGCTGAGGAGATGGTGGTGGACCTTCGCAGGGCTGGCCTATTGAGGGGGGTGAAGTGGAGAGGATAATGACCTACAGGTGTCTCGGACTGCAATTGGATGATAGGTTGGACTGGTCAGCCAATACAGACATCCTGCACAGGAAGGAGCAAAGCCATGGTTGCCAGCTGTCTTTTTTATGCTGTGGTGTGCTGGGAGGAGGCATGAAAAAGAGAGATGAGATGCGACTGGACAAACTGGTCAGGCGAGCGGGCTCAGTGGTCAGTGTGGAACTGGACTCTGTGGTTAAGGTGGCCGAGAGAAGGACTCTGCACAAACTACTCTCCATTATGAAGGATGATGGCCACCCACTGCACACCACCATCATGGACAGGAGGAGCATGTTTAGTGGCGGGTTGCTGTCACAGAGCTGCTCAACCGACAGACTCAGGAGATCCTTTGTCCCTCGAGCCATCAGGCTCTTCCCAGAGGGCCCAGAAGAGATGAGAGATGAGGGAGGAGGAGAGATGAGGACTGAGTCTCTCATGATATATCACAGGTTTAATTTATTTATCTGCACATACGGACACTTTACTGTCTATATTGCACCCCTCATCACACATCTGGCACACCTGGACATTTTATTTCAGTACCAATATCTGCACATATTTATTCAGTATTGTCATTATATGCTGTTACCTGCACCTCCTTGTAGAGTCATTATTGCACTGCCTTTTATCTCAGGATGGATCTTATTGCACATTTTTATATATTTCTAGTTGTATACATACCTGTAGATGATTTTCCATCCATCATCTAAACCGCTTATCTTTCTGGGTCGCAGTGGGGTGCTGGAGCCTATCCCAGCTGTCATTGGGCGGAAGGCAGGATACATTTTTTGGATGATTTTTTCCTAATATATTTTCTTTATATTGTATCACCATTATTATTATTATTATTATAATAATAATAATAATAATAATAATAATAATAATAATAACTGTGCTGTGTGACTCACACTGGCTGTGAAAGTTCCTTCAATAAATTATCCATCCATCCATCC